CGTATTTGAAACAACATGACCGTAAAAATAAGGATGTGCTATCTCGTTTGTACAACGTTTTCTACAGGTACAACCAAACGCCCAAACCAAATATTTGTAACTATGAAAGAATTTCGACTTAATAATTTACTAGTAATACATAGAATACGTTTATTTAAATCCAAAACGTCACTACAGACACGAGCATAGCTAACGAGATAGGATATATAAATATCGTAAGATGGTGCCATGGGAACATAACTGTCCAAAAAAGGAAAGTTGACAGTTCGGAACGAAAATTCGTCCCTCTAGTCATAATGTTTTGTGTAGAGTTTCCCTGTAAAACTGAAATATATAAATCTATGAAAGGACAGGTATTTATTTTTCCTTTATTTAAGGGAGTTTCTTTGGGTAAATTTCAGCAGTATATTTAGAGTCTTCTCGATAATTTAACGAAACATAACATTAAGATAACGGTAAGTGTATCAATTAAATGGAATTTAGACGGGTCTTTACTGAGTTTAGCCATAACGTGTGATTCATAGCAGTGCAGGAATAAGTCTGTTTTAAAGGGGCGCAATTGGTATCCGTAGGAATACATATAACCTGTCGATAAACTGTGTAGCCGAAACGTACATAAATGTTGTCAAAGAGAAAATTTACAGCTTTTATCATTTCATCACACTTCCAGTTGATATATCAAACATATTTACCTTTCTCAGTAGAGAAGAATTAGATTTGCCAGATTTTTTTTCAAAAGCACCGATATAAGAGTACTTGCAATTACTGAAAGCTAGTTTAAAGCCAATTGCAACTAATAAATAAATCATATTCTCCCAGACTAGAGTATCAATCAGTACACATTCAACGGATTTAGCTTAAAGACGTCAATTAGTCTGAGAAACGCATGATGTGGTGCAAAGCCAAACTGTAAGTTAACAGTATCGACAAGATGTAGGACCATGAGTTCTCATAACTGTTTATATAAAGCAACATGTACTTAGTTGTGTGTTAATTTTTCATGTTCAAAATCAATGTTAATACCAACTACTAGGGGGTGTTTAACGACCTTGACTACCCATGAGGGTCTCGCACGGTCGGTATCAATACCGATTAAACAATATTAAAAGATTTTACTACTGTTAATTGATAACCTTAAAGAATAAGTTGATGCAAAGGATCAACGAGTTTACATGGATCGTATCTATATTTACGGGCTCTATAAACAACATCATTGACACTTTTAAATTTTTCATTTACATATTTGCTCAGTTTACAATTTGTGTTATTGGCGTTTATTTTATTTTCTATGAAGTTTAAATCTCCAGTTAAAATGTATCTTTTGTTGGTATTATATTGGTTTAATTAGAATGGGAGTTTAACAAAATATAACAAAACGAAATAAAATATGTAGATAGAAACTTCATGTTTATTTCAAATTTTATAAGTTCCATTGATAAATACATGTAATTATCTGCTTAACACTCACATACATAAATTACTATCAAAACAATTGCCTATTGCCCAACATTGAAACTATCAAATTGTCCAACTAAAATCCTTCTGATTGTCCCACAGAATTTTTAACCTGTAATTGTGGGACAATTATGAAGACACCGAAGAGTCATTTCATTTAAATATTTAATAGCTGTTAAAACCAAGCTAATGTTTAGAAAACAGACTGTTATTAATAGCACTAACAAGGAAAATGTTCTATAATGAAGAAATAACAAGTGTTTTTCTAATATCCTGTTTTTTTGAAGTATTTATATCAGTATACGTGTATACCTTTTATTTCCTTAAATATTTCGTGTTTAGTTTTAAATGAGGGCCTCGTTTAACACCGAGGTTGTGTGTTCGAATCCCACACGTGGCAGGTGCGCTCGACTCCAATCTTAATTGACTAGAATTGGCAGTTTTCCTACCGAAGGTCGGTGATTCTCTCCGGCTTCCTCCGCCATTAAAAACTGACTGTCACGAAATAGCACAATAGTGCTGAAAGTGGCGTTACATACCAATCAATCAATAGTTTTAAATGAACGAAGCTTAAAATGTCCCTCATAATATATTTCATAGTGAAAGGATGATATGAAATTGTAAATGGGGGGAAGGGGGTCCCGTTTGTTCTAGGAGGGCTTATAACATATAAATGAAAACTAATTATACAGAACTTTGGAATACAAGATAAAATTGTGGATAAGAGTATCTAATCCTAAAATAATGAAACTAATTGAGAAAGAAATATACTCGTGAAGGTTAAGTCTCACACATTAGCTGTATAATTCCGATTAAATGGAAATTGCTAATAACAAAGTAATCCATATTTCAAATGTGATTTTAAAAGAGATAAAAATCCTATATCATTAGTAGAGACATAACCAATACGTCAGCTTGAGAAGAAAAGAATAACCCATGCGTGAGTATCAATGTACTGAATGAAGAACTCATACGTCAGGTTGAGTAACAAATAAATAACTCATACGTAAGCATGAAATCATACATAGCATGAGAAGAAACAAAAATAACTCAGATAACACCTTGGATAAGCAAGAGAAAAACTCATACGTAATCATGATGTGAAGATTAATACTGTATAAGTCAGCATGATAAGCACACACTCACAACTTATCGTCCAATCAAATTGATTGAAATTTCATTCTAAGTTTCATGATACATACATTTTCCGTGTACCAAATATAGCTATGCATGGATGACCATAAGGGTGATACTGAATTGCATTTTGATCTGAATATTAAGAAAAATAAGTGCGGCGGCTATATTTTAATAAAATTTTGTGTCCTAAATCTTTCTAATGCATGTATGATTTTTATTTATCCTAGTATTAAAATCCTGGGGTTTTCAAAAATATACTTATTTTTTTGGTAAAAATTATTTTCGTACTCCATGTATACCTTACAACAAAATTATTTTTATTTACCTGTGTACGTTATTTTATTTTGCGGCATTTTGTCCAAGGTTATGGTTGTCTTTCTGATATTGTTTTACATCTAACCCCCTTTTTTTTTTATTAATTTTGTATTTACATTGTGTCGTAGATCATGATTTAATGCTTACGTATGAGTATTGTCGGTTATAAAAGCTCAAAGAGCTTATGTTTATTTGTTATGTGACATGCCGACTATAAATAAAGCTTTGAATTGAATTGAATCAAATTTATTCGTTCAGTGTATGATCACTTGTTTTTGTTAATATGTCTTTTGATTGAGCTAAGCCATTTCAATTGATATTTTATAGTGTGTCTTTCTATGTTGTGGTGTTACACTATTGTTTCATGTAAGGTGAAGGTTGGCGCCTATTTAAACGTTTAATCCCGCTGCATTTGTTTGCACCTGTCCTAAGTCAGGAACCTGATGTTCAGTAGTTGTCGTTTGTTCATGTGGTTCATAAGTGTTTCTCGTTTCTCGTTTTTTATATAGATTAGACCGTTGGTTTTCCTGTTTGAATGGTTTTACACTAGTCATTGTTGGGACCCTTTAAAGCTTGCTGTTCGGTGTGAGCCAAGGCTCCGTGTTGAAGGCCGTACTTTGACCTATAATGGTTTACTTTTACAAATTGTGACTTGGATGGAGAGTTGTCTCATTGGCACTCATACCACATCTTCTTATATCTATTAAAGACAATGTTCTATCATTTAAAAAAGGGAGAAAAATTGTTGTTCTTAATACCTTGATCACAGTACAATGCAATTTGATTACTCTGATCATCCATGAAGGTACTTAGTACACAGAAAAATAATAAACTATGAAACTTTGTGAATGGAAATTCAAGGAATTTGATTGGACGAGGAGTTGAAAATATACTTGAGAATAATAATGATAATGTCATATAAAAATTATGATGATAGGAATAACTTTTAAACGTTCTCTCGGAACTTGATCACTTTCATCATGAATTGAAACACTGTGATGATGTCTGAAGAGAATGCGCGATCTATACCTATATTTTGATAATATATATAGCTATATATATAGCTTAAACTTTATTGTAAAATAAGAAAATGTTTTGAGCTCTGACTCTATGTTAAAAACGATACTAACATGTATAATAAGACGTTCAATTAAGAAACTTCAAATAACTTAATAGTACCGGATTTTACTCTAAATGAATAATCTAAATGTGAAGATTTAGTAAAGTATTAACCAATTTATGATATATATATCCCCGCTATATAAAAGCTGTTTAGCAATGAAAATATTACGTTTGTTGATTATAGGACTTTCCAGAAAGTCCGAATTTGATCTTGAAATTACAATTTTATACGAATTAATTTCCTTGTATGGAAGTATACTGATATAGATACTGGTTCGCTGCAGGGCAGAGCAATAGTGAGAAGTAAAATTGAAAACAATGTGTAAATTTAATTTACAAACATTTTCAGCTATATAATCGAATTTGATTATGTGCATGTTGGAACACAAAATACCATTAATAATTCTCATATTTATATTAACCAAATATAATCTTTAAGTCAACAGGACTTAAAAACCGTTAATCGTTAACTCTTCATTGAGCTTCGTTGCCGCGAAAAAAGTCTACTCCCCGAAGGGGAGCTAATCAACCTAAAATAATAATTTTAGAGTAAAAATCCTAATTCCGGAAATAAGTTTCTGGAAAGGGCTATGCACAAATTATATCATCTAAAAATATGCTGGTATTGTTAAAAAAAATATACCAAACTGTGTTTTGTTATGTCTTGATGGAGCATTTTCATAAATTAGGAATGAAGGCAGTAACAGAATCAATTCAATTCAAATAAGATCTGTGATATCGCTATGATTATAACAGCTTCAACGAGTAAGCGAGTCAAGATCAATCGGAAATTTAATCAAAATGTAAAAGAATAAATCTGCTTTTCTTCTTGATTTTTGAATATTCCATATGATCAGGACCATAGTATAAACTAGCATATGTGCTAAAATAGGTAAAACCTTTTTAAATAACGGCTGTTCTTATCATAATTTATCCTTTCATTGTCAATATGCAAAACAAAAATATCATACCATTAGTTTAACTCCTTTTTCATACAACATGCGATTTGCATCGGTTAATATAAAGGTGTGTTTCATGGCGGCCTGGTATTTCATTATCTGTCTGATATGCTTGTGGTACTTCGGTAATGGTTCATCTGACTGTAAACACTTGATCATTTCCGTTTGATTCTCGTGTTGTATGTATCGATAAAAGTACTGGTGACATGTATCTGAAAGGTATCAAATGTCGTCAATTATATTTGCATATGAATACATATAGCTTATATGATACCCTTCTTTTGCTTTGTAAACCAATCTTAGTTCTAATAAATCATGGGGACGTCATAATTAAAATTGCATTGTCAGTTGTATTTCCATGACACAGGAGAATAAAATGGACATTTATGTTGGTGTTGCTCAGTAGGAAAGTAAATAGAATCATTCTTAAAGTAAGTGTTCGTTTATTTGAACACTTTTAAATTGTGAAACGCTTGGTTTTCTAGAATATATATATGTTATTCTAATGAAAATGGCTGCCTTTCGATCGTGTCTTTTATATCCGCTTCGAGGTACGAAATGAATCTGGATTTTCTATATGAATCGGAATAATTCCTTCATGTCATGCTCTATATCATTTTGACATTGGTTTACATTATGTCTGCTTTCGCTCGGTGTAATCATATTGACAACAAATACTTAACCATGTAATAATGAGCATAGATAAAGAATAAAATAATTATTTCTAATACAGCAACCACTTGATTACGATATTTATCCATTCGAGATAGTTAAAGTTTCAAACTTTAAAATGGAAGGTTTACCTAGTTGATATTAAGCGATATATAATTATCAAAACAAGTTGTTGAACCTATATCTCTTATGATAGAAATTCTATTGCACCTAGTAAACAATTTGACGTCATTGGTCCAATTCCGGTGTCAAAGTAAACATCGGACATTTTAAAGCGTTTTAACGATTAAGAATGAATCAAAGACGTAAAGAAGATTTTGAGTGTTGAGTATATTGTTAAAAACAATCTCATATATCTCTTGCTTTGGAAGAAATGAGTCTGGTGTGACCATTCAATGTCATCATTAACCTAACGAGTAGCCTTATGAAAATGTGCAAATTCTTAAGAAATGTATAGTAGTTTTTATTATTTTTTTGTCGAAAAATACTTTTGTTTGCTTTTAAGGTGTCAGTACAAATCTGTTAGTCATATACAACCATTTGTGTGTGTACATGCATTTGTGTTAGAAAAAATGATGACACTAATTTCCGTCCTCATAACATGCTTGTCTTAAATAATCATTAGATGATACGCTTGACACCAAACAAATAAAACGCGCAGGAGTATCAAGAAATTTGCAGAAAAATGTATAATTTAAAGCAATAAAAAATGAAAACATAACTTTATACATTTCATGCGTCAAAAGCGCTTTTCTGGATTTACCTTCATCTGGAACGCTCAAAGCCGAATATTAGAAAAGTACATAAAAAAAGAGCCAAATCCGTCTAAGATCAACTTTGCCTGAGGGAGTTAAAACCTTAGTTTCTTTATTATTTCAAAATTTAGAAACTGACAAGTTTAGAAAGGTTTGTTATCAATCATGTCAGTATCTGACTACTGAACTGATGATACCATCGGGGACTGATAGTCCACCAGCAGCGGTATCGACCCAGCGCTGTAAAAATATTAGAACACTTTATAAATGTCATGCGTCCGAAGCAAGTATTGAAGCACTAACAAGAAATGCAAATTTTGAGACAGATATTTTATGAGTGATTTGTTTGGCGGATTGGTGTTAATGACATGATTAATGAAATTATTAACTTACCGGCATGCCATTGGATGTATAAATCTACAGCCATGAATAATTTAGAGACAAATATTTCTACTTAATTGGAACTAAAATAATATAAGCAGAAATTCTTTGAAGCGATTTCTATTTTATTGGATTAATGATAATACGAATTCTTGTAAGTGAATGGTAAATATCAGGACTAAGACAGTAAATCGCGTATTGTTGTATGCATAATAGCACTACAAACCAGTAAAAGTCTGAAATGGCCTATATTTGTACTCGACTGTACTGATTTTTACTCGACCAGTCTAAATTGGTCTGAATTTTACTCGACATTACTCGACCCAGTCTTAACCATACTCGACCGTACTGATTTGTACTTGACCCTTATCTTTGCCATTGAAAATAGTCTGAACTATTACTCGACCAGTCTGAAACAGTCTTAACCCATTCTCGACCTGTACTCAACCAATTTTTTCAGTCTAAACCATACTCGACCAAAGGTCTGAACAATACTCGACCAGTCTGAACCATACTTGACCAAAAAACCTATACTTTTTTTTAATTTTAGCTGTTAAAATTAATTTCTTTTTTTCTGACATGACAACAGCAGAGACATAATGTCTCTGACAACAGCCACAATAAAATAAAGATATATATAAAAACATATTTTTACATCTTTACATGATTCTCAGATTTATCAAATAGAGATAGTTAAATTAAATTATCTTATATAATAATTTAATTATATTAATTTTAAAGTTTTAGAGTTTTGTTAAAAAAAAGATTTTCTTTTAACTAAAAACCACACCTTTACTGAGGGTAATAAAACCTTATTAAGGTGCTTCTTTTTTGGCATGTGTGTTTTTTTTTAAACTTAATTTTCCTAAATTCCTAAAGAAAAACTATATAGGTTTCATGGTTACATACAATAGTTATATAATTATCTTTTTAATGAGGTAACAACAGCCAAAAAATCACTGAAATTGTTTAACCTTATATTAGAAATATATCTATTCTTATTATAATTTGGGATATATATATAATATATATCAAAAAGGGATAAAAAAAATTAAAGAAATAGATAAAATTTTTCTTCTGATTAGTGGTGAAGTATAAAGTAATACCTCATGCTTGGGGCAAACTCATTAAAAAGATCACACCTGGTCAGAGAGTATTAATTTCTAATTAACATTCATTAAAAATTGCAACATCCTGTAAAACTTAAATCGCAAGGCCTTTTGAATTCACTAGATAAGTAATACACGAGTTTAAGAAAAAAAGGACTTTCTTTTTACCTGTGAAACACACATGTACTGAGGTAAATAAACCATATTAAAGTGCTTCTTGTATGCCATGTCTTTAATTTTGACAAAAATTATTTAAATTTAATTGAAATAAATTTTTTCTGCAACTTTGGAACACATTTCCTTTTTTTAAATGGTTATCAAGGATTGCTATGGAAGTTCTATTATCATGATTATATTAAATTCTTGGTTTTACAAAACAAAGTGTGATTTTAAAAATTTATTAAGTTGCTTTATATACTATTTTAAATATATTTTAATAAATAAATGTTCACTGCATTATTAACTAAACTCAACTGACACCATAAATCTATACAAGGCTTAAGTAAATGGTGAAAATTGTCCAGTAACCATAAAATATATCTGAAACATTAAAAAAAATTTGAATAACATTGAAAATATTAGTCACAATTCAGTTTTGAGATTATTTGATCAGCTTGTTTTATTTTTATTTTAATGGTGATATATATATATATGTAAGTGTTGATAAATATGGTGTTGAATTTATATTATGTTTATTGTGAAATTTTGGTTTCAATGCCATATTGAATACATTTTAAATTTCAAATTGTTGTTCAAATTTCTAGCCAGGGGAAATAGCTGTTAAAAACAGTTCTCAAATTGATGAAATACAATAGATAGATACAAAAATTAGGTCTAGGTTGGTTAAGACTTAGTCGAGTATGGTTCAGACTAGGTTGAGTATGGTTTAGACTAGGTAGAGTATGGTTCAGACTAGGTCGAGCATGGTTCAGACTAGGTCGAGCATGGTTCAGACTAGGTCGAGCATGGTTCAGACGAAAATAAAATGGTTAAGTACTGGTCGAGTAAAGGTCAAGTACAAGTTCAGACTGTTAAGTATGGTTCAGACTACAGTCGAGTATTATCAAGTAAATTTCAGACCAATTCAGACTGGTCGAGTAAAAATCAGTACAGTCGAGTACAAATATAGACCATTTCAGACTTTTACTGGTTTGTAGTGTAGGGAGGGGACAGATTATGTTGACTTCGTGGATTTCAATTTAGTATGGAATACATCTTTATGATTTGTATTTTTGGTTCCCGTTTAAGTTATGTATATTTAAAGTTTTTGTGTACTATATCACTTTTCATAAAGATCAGACGCCTGAGAACAATGGTCGTAAAAGAATCAATCACGTTTAACTTGCAAACAGTTACCTTCTGCACTTATCGTGTTTCTTTTGGTTTTATAGGCTGAAAATAGTCTTTGATTTCTTTCTGTGAATCTCTGACACCTTTTGTCTCTGTTAACAAAATCCAACTGAAACATGGGATGGTATGGATCCGGAAAGGCAATCTAAAAAAAACCACAGAAAGCTGGAATAACGTCTAACGAAATTCACTTCGAAAATTTTATGGACGCGCCATCACGAGCTGGTTGACTGTTATGGAATATCTGTTTCACCAATGACGACAGATATGTTCCAATTGTCGTAACCAAAATCCCGTTCTCTTTTCATCGAATGTGACCTACCAAGTTAGACTTATCACACGATTTGTAATAACACGAGCAACACAACGGGTGCTATATGTGTAACATGATCTGTTTACCTTCTGGAGCACCTACGATCACCCCTAATTTTGTTTAAAAGGGGTTCGTGTTGTTCTTGCTTAAGAAATAAGTGTTGTGTATGTGCTTTTAATTTTTAAATGACTTTGTTGTGTATATCGGTAACAGTCTCGTCTATCATTTGTCGTGATAAACGTGTCAATAACCAATCTGCTATTTTGTGATGCTAATCACTTTATAAGACTTATCAACGTTTTTTTAAGAGTAACACGACGGGTGTCGCATGTGGAGCAGTTTTTTTGGTGGGGTTCGTGTTGCTCCGTCTTTTGTTTTCTATGTTGTGTTTTGTGTACTGGCTTGTCTTTTCGTCGTTTTTTGGCATGGCATTGTCAGTTTGTTTTCGATTTATGGCATTGAATATCCCTTTGGTATCTTTCGCCTCTCTTCTATCACGGTGAAATTATATTAAAAACCTACAAACCAATTTTTTTGTATCTGTGAAAGAATTTAGTAAAGGTTTCAAGTAATTTGTGGGAATGAAATCTCTGACAAAATAGAAAACGAGTGATACAGAGATAACTTTTATTGCAATCTATAACGTCACCACATACAAACGAGTTTGGGTAAATAAACACTTAAGAAGGGGTCAAAGGAAAATCTTTCCCTTTTGTCATACATTTGAAACAGAAATATCTAAATCTAAGAAATGACAGTTATTGATTTTTATTTTGTATTTATTTGAATGAAGTTTGGTTAACTTCGGCAGTATATTCCGTTCCGAGAATTCTTGATTATTAAACGAAAAACTATCATCAAGGTAACGATAAGTGGTGTTGAATTCATCAATTAAATGGGATTTAGACAGAACATTACTGATTTCGGTCATTTGAATAAAGTTTGGATAACTTCGGCAGTATATTCCGTTCCGAGAATTCTTGATTATTAAACGAAAAACTATCATCAAGGTAACGATACGTGTTGCTGAATTCATCAATTAAATGGGATTTAGACAGAACATTACTGATTTCGGTCATAAAGTGTGATTTATATCAATACAGAAACAAATCTGCTATTAAAGGGTCGCAACTGGTGTCAATAGGAATACTTATTTTGTGCACTGTTGTTTGTCTGTTTGTCTTTTTCTTTTTTAGCCATGATGTTGTCAGTTTATTTTCGACTTATGAGTTTGAACGTCCCTTCGTGTCTTTCACCTCTCTTTTATAACTTGTGTAAACGTACATAGATATTGTCTTTGGAGAAATGAACTTGTAGATTTTATTTTGGTGATCATTTTTGTTAGTTACAGTTTCTATCATTATGGGTTTTAAATAAAAGCCTCAATGGCAAAAATATATCAAAATCGTCATTTTATGGGCAATAACTCCAGTAAAAAGATGACTGACGATTTATGCCATTGTAGGTTATTTGTAGATTTTGGTCTTGTTGATCATTTTAGCTGTCACTTTTTTCTCTTTAGTTTTCGCCCAAAACCGCAAAAATGGGCGAAAATCATCATTGAAGGGGCAATAATATGAAATCGATTGTCAATTTCTGCCATTTGAACTATTTGTATATATTGTTAAAATGATCAGTTTTGCTAATAAAGTATAATTTTCTATATCTATTTTTATATTTGATGCGTTTCCCTCAGTTTTAGTTTGTAACCCGGATTTGTTTTTATCTCTATCGATTTATGAGTTTCGAACAGCGGTATACTACTGTTGCCTTTATTTAATTTTCAAGATTATAGCAAAACATGTTTAAAAGTCATCATTTAAGGACAATAACTTATATTAGGAATCGTCTGATGATTTCGGACATAGTGAATATTTGTACATCTTAACTTGCTAGTAATTTTTATAATTTAGAAAAGTTAATTTATATTGTAGTTTTCATAATAATTTCCAAAAGCAGCAAAATTTGCTAAATTTTCAGAAGAAATGGGAAGTCCAATTTTTTTCTGAAAATTTCACAATAGACCTGCTAATCATTTATACACTGTGTCAAGATTCAAGATTCAGTTTTGCTGTAATTACTAAAGGTTTTGATGAGATATAAGCCATAAAATGCGGGTTTACCCCTATGTTTTTTAGTAACGGCAGAGGGAATCAAACTCTCGATACAATTTTAAAACTTGAAACCTCAAAAAAGACGCCGTTAATTTTTTTCGAACGTTACATAGCGATTCTGCGACATAATATTAGGCGACACTTTGATGTACATTTGTTTTTTAGTTTTTGTTTTTTTTAGATAAGCACGGTAGCACATACTTTTTATGTATTTAGTTTAAAAAAAATAAAAATGAAAACCGACAAATATATAAATGTAAGAAAAACGACGATTAAGAAACTTGTAACTCTGCTCAATAAAAGTCGGTAAATTTAACCTTTCTTTTGTTAAAAAATATTAACAGGAAGGTGTGTGTGTGGGGGGGGGGGGGGGGGATGGGGGGGCTACACAAATGAAGTACTCCTATAGTTTATGGGAGACCGCTGAACAGACCCCATAGAATAACACGATAATTATTGATTTTTATTCATGCTTTTTACGTACACAGGTTTACGGGAGCACATATTTGTATTTTAATGCATGTTTAAAATTCGATTGTAGGATTTCAATAATATTTACGAACTTGGAAGCGATTTCTATGTCATTGATTTTAATTTCTCAGTCCAGGTCATGCACGTCATGCAGACTTGCACCTGTATTTATAGTGCTAACGGGAATACATTTTCTTGATTCATTTACAGGTAAACTGATGTCTAATCGCTGACCACGAGTCTTCATTTCTTAGTTAGAACCCAAGGACCTCAAATAAAAAAAAATCTAGGTTTATACGGCTTACAGTTTATGAGTTACAAAAACATAACGACAAATTTAATTAGTAAAGGTAGTTAACTCCTAAAAGATGTCACTGGATCGCTTCAATCCAAATCAACCACAAATTTCTGAGGATGTAACGAACAATTAAGAAAAAAGAATTTTGTCGCAATCTTAATGGGTTACGGAGGAGATACACGAACAAGAAGGTCAGTGGGTACAATAAAAAGTCTTCGGCTAAACAGGGTGAGTTTAAAAGCCATAACTGTTCGATATAATATCCGAAACATCTAAGCGACATAATAATCAGAACAAAATTAAAAGGTCTTTCCACCGAAAAGTGGAGAGACCTAATAAATATCAAATAAAACCATTTCAAAGAATGTATACAGTACCTCCTTAAATCGGCCACTCTATAACTTTATTTGTCTTCGTCATTATCAGCACAGAAAAACTTAATCTGAAACCTTAATTGTTTTTCTATCTGTGAATAATCGAATACAAATTTCTTGAATTTTTTATTGTAAGTTTTAACAGAATAATATGAAGTATAACAAAAGAAAAGGTACGTCTGTTTTTAAATATACCTTTTCATACGTATGTTAATAAAGAAAGAAGCTAAAACGACGGTGAAATTGCTTTTTTACTTAAATCTAAGCCATATGCATTTTCCCGTGTTTTGTATTTCAATTGTAGGTTATTAGAATATAAATAACATATAGTCTTTGAAATCTGTTTGACGTAACTTCTACGAAGCTTCACATTAACAACCTGAACCCGTTAATAATTCTTTCAAACCTGATCGGATTCAACAGCCTTGTTTCTGTACCATTTTAGTTTTCCTATAAAACCACTGAAACCTGGTGTTGTATCAGATCCTCCAATTACAAACAACCCTTCTGTATCATCCATATATACTTCTGAATCAAAACTAGAAACACAATTTCTTTTGAGTTTTACTATATCTAAAGGGTTAATATAAGCAATTGGCGTTAAAAGGTGAATTAATTATATTCTTCGTCGTGCATATCTTTAGTACGCAAGTATCTGCTCATGTCAAAAGGAAAAATGGACCAAACTTTGAAGAAATTTCTCCTGTGTAGACAATTGATTTCCGCTCAAATTCTCAAATATGCCCGCTAAAATAAGTTTTCGCCTTTGATATTTCTTATAGCAAAACGCGAATACAGGAAAAACAGAAACGGTTTTCGTTTTCGTTTGGCGAATTCTCCTTTTCACTTTTGCGTTTTGGCTTTGTTTGATTGAAAACAGTCAAATGCATCAATATCGGGGACATACACCTTCTCACAGTTGTGTATGAAACTCTATATACTTATATTTATTCAGGATACATTGTCCTTACAAATTATTCAAACTAAAGTTGTGTATAGGAGTTACCATGTCCGTCTGTCTGTTTTTCTGTCTGGTGCATAACTTTTGAACCGTAAAACTTAATCACATTTGGTATGCAGTTGCATCATGGACTAGGGGTGTGTCATAGGTATGCCAAAGTCAGGTCACTCTGACCTTGACTTTGACCTTTGACCCCTATGATAGTAAAACCTTGTCCAAAATCGTGTTCGGTGCTTATCGTTTGAACCGTAAAACTGAGGTTAACAAAATTTGGTATGCAGTTGCATCATGGGCTGGGGTGTGGTCATAAACAAAAGTCAGATCGAACTGACCTTGACTTAAACCGTTGACCCCTATAATATCAAAACCGTGTCCGGAACATATTTTTTGAACCGTAAATCTAAGTTTAATCAAACTTGCTATGCAGTTGCATCATGGTTTAGGGGTTTGTCATATACTAAAATCAGGTCACTCTGACCGTGTCTTTGACGTTTGACCCCTATGATAGTAAAACCGTGTCCGGGGCATATCTTTTGAATCGTAAAACTTTGTTTGCCCCACCTCTTATGCATTTGGAACGTGGACTGGGTGTGTGTCATATACCAAAGTCAGGTCACTCTGACCTTTGACCCCTATGATAGTAAATCCTTGTCTAGTTTGTGTCCTGAGCATAACTTTTGTACCATAAAACTTAGGCTGACCAAACTTTGTATGCTGATGCATCATGGGCTGGGGGTGTGTCATATATCAAAAGTGAATTTGACCTTTTCTATGATAGTAAAACATTGTCTGATTTGTGATTGGTGCATACTTTTTATAATGTAGCACTTTGATTGATAACACTTTGTATGCAGAAACATCATACTGACCTTGACTTTGACCTCGATCTTTAATTTTTGAATTTATAAAAACTTGTGTCAGTCTCACACAGAGGCAATGATTATATAAAATGAATGACTGAAAACCAAAAATCTTCATACCGAATTTCACAGTAGCAACTAAAATGCATGTAAGGGGGTATTAGTCCCACTATGTGGACAACTCTAGTTAATGATCGTTTTTATTTTATTTGCTGTTTTTTGTTGTTGTTGCTGAAAAGGAAAATGAACCTTGAAAATCAGTAAGTTATCAATTTTCAGCTTAAACGAATAAAACGGCCTTATAGTTTCCACCTTTTTTCGCAAGAACTTTGTGATGCAATTTTACGAAAAATGAGGCGAAAATTATATATATATATATTCATAGACACAGTGGTAGTTTTTATTTCTCGACATTTAAATATTCAGCTTAACGAATATTCGTCATATCACTCTGAAATAATGTACTTACGTGAACTCCGTTGATTCTATTTGATTGAACTTTTTGCCATAGTTAAAAGTAAGCTTCCACTGAAAAAAAAAGAAAAAAAGAAACATGCAAATAATATCCCAACTCGTTCACTATGCCCGTGTCTGTAATGACGTTTTCAATGAACGTATTACTGGTAAATTGTTAAGTTAAGCATTACGTTACCACAAATTACTTAAAACCTTTTCTAAATTCTTTCATATATATAAAGATATAAAGTTTGGCAGTTTGGCTGTACCTGTAGAAAACTTATTACAAACGAGATAGCACATCATATTTTTACGGTGGTGTTGTTTTATACACATGTGCACATTCACGGTCCTACAATCTGTCGATACCTATATTTTGGCATAGCATAAGGTCATTTTTTTTATGACTGTTAATGACGTCTTTCACTAAATTTGTTGGATGTTAGATGTGTACTAATGGATATTTTAGTCTTAGATATATGATTTTTGTATTTGTAGTTATTGGATTTAAACTAGGTTTCAGTAACTGCGAGTGCTCTCAGATTTGTACTTTGTGTTTTTTATAGTTGTTTTGTTGTTGCTTTGTATCGATCTGATGAGTTAGGCCCTTTTCAACTGATGTTTATAGCTTGTTCTTATGTTGTGCTGTTACACCACTGTCCCAGGTTAGGGGAGAGTTGGGCGCCCGCAAACATGTTTAACCCCACAACATTCTGTATGTGCCTGTCCAAAGTCAGGAGCCTGTAATTCAGTGATTGTCGTTTGTTGCTGTACTTCATATTTGTATTTCGTTTACTGTTTTGTACATAATTTTCTCGTTTAAATTGTTCTACATTTGTCATTTCGAGGCCTTTTATAGCTTACTATGGGGGATTTGCTTATTGTTGAAGGCCGTACAGTGACCTATAGTTGTTAAATTTACGTCATTTAGTCTCTGGTGGAAAGTTGTCTCTTGGCAATCATGTCACATCTTCTTATTTTTTAAAAAGAATGGCTTCTTCTGTTTCCTTTGAAATGTGGTTGCTTTTAGCGGGATTTGAAATAAAAATTTATGATATTTATTCGGCGTTTGTTTCCCACTGTCATTATAAAATCAACGAAATTGATAGTATTAAGTGTTTCAACAAGTCTTAAATTCTTATCGTTAATTGAATTATGATAAACTGTAAGTTTACATTTTAATATCATAAAGGTTGACAAAGTTCGACTTTGCTTGTTAGCTCTTCCGAAAAGGAAGTAAACAACATGAAACATTTAAATCAAATTCTAGTAAGATAAGCATGTGCATAAAAAACGGACATTCTATCGTCAAAGGCAAGACAAAGAAAAATTCTACTCATCAATACCTATGTCAAGAATAAGAATAAAAAAAATATAAAGGTAATTTTCACGAGCTATCATCAATATAATTTGAAAAAGAACATTCTTTATGTGTCTGTCGGGGCCTTATAAAACCGACTATACGGTGTGGTGTTTTCCTCATTGTTTAAGGCCGTACGGTTGCTTATAATTGCTTAAATCCACTTCATTTGAACACTGGTGGATTGTTGTCTCATTGGCAATCATTCCACATTTCCTTATTTTTATGTTATGTAAGCACCGATTCTGTATCGTGTCGATAAAGTGCATCTTACCTTTTTTTTGTCAAAAACAAAGACCAATCTAACCCATTGATGACGTGGAATTGTTATATCTGTAATAGCAGCTCGTGTTTCCCCGTTCGCCAACGACACCTGTATGTGAAGATTTCCTGAAACATTGATAGTATACCTTCAGCATATAAAACTTTGGATTGTACAGTTCAAAGACAGTGTTGATTTGTCCACCAAATATGTTTTTTTCTTAAACTGAGTTGTACTGTGCGCATTGCTGTGTGTTTGTTTATTCCACACTGGCTAGAGGTATAGGGGGAGGGTTGAGATCACACAAAATAAGTTTAACCCCGCCGCATTTATGCGCCTGTCCCAAATCAGAAACCTCTAGCCTATTTTTGTCTAGTCTTGTGTGTGTTTTTTTTAATTTTGTTCATTTATATGTTTTGGAGTTTAGTGACACGTCCATTTCGCTGAACTAGTATACATTTTTATTTATTGGCCAGCTGAAGGCCGACTCCGGGTGCGGGATTTTCTTGCTGCGTTGAAGATCCATTGCTCTTTGGTCGGGTTGTTTTCTCTTTGACACATTCTCCGTTTCCATTCTCAATTCTATATATTGCAACATGCATGTCTGGTTCGCTTTCCAACTTCAAATGTTGTCAATACGAATTGAGGAGATGCTGTATACATAAACAATTACAAGGTCCGAGTTTTTTTTTATCTAATCTCCCCAGCGAACACACCTGAACTGTATATCATTTGAAAAAAAAACCATGCACTAAAGGAATATGCCTGTCGTCAGGTTCAGAAAGTGTCATATTGTTTTACAACTGAGGTCAAAGGTCAACTAATTTGATGGATTTCAATTTAGACAAAATTTTCGTTTTCTATATTCTAACTTATAACAAACTTATACTTTTTAAGCTTCATTTTTTCAAAGATTTTCATAAAACAATAAATCCCATATTTTTTTGAATAAACAATGTCTAAAATTACGTTTTTAATTTCAAATCTCTAAATTTTAACTACATTTTCAAAACCCGATTCTGTTTGAAAAGCTGTAAAAAAAAAAAGAAATTCAGGGTACGATCGAAGATACGAATTAGTTGAGACTAGGAATAAAGTGAACAGACCTATTCAAAGAATGTTTTATCAACGACCGGTAGAAGTTATATCATAAATGTATAACTGTAGATCACGTTGATGATACATGGAATGACAATCTTGTTGTCATGCAGGCGTTTAGCAAAGATAACAAAGGGTACAGGAATGTATATATGCATTATATGTACATTGTCGGAAAATATATAATTTATTTGTTCGAGCTTTAGAACCAGGACGAAAACCGGAGAGCATGATTCTTATAAGAAAATCACATTTTCTCCTCCGGGACCTCTGTGTTCGAAGTAAACTTTCTCACCGAAGTACTTCCCTGGCTCAATCGCTTACGGCTGGGCAGATGTCTTCTATTCAAAGGAGGCAATCCCGTCACAGATGATTTTTGTTTGCACCAGGAGAGACTTTACGTATTAGGGTTGATGCATATTCATCGAGAAATTCCAATTAATGCAAAGGGAGTTCTAGAAGTATTTGCTTCACGCAAAAACAGGAAAATTTCTCTGTCGATTTCATGCTCTCTTGTTCTAGCATTAAACTGCATATGCAGTGAGTTATACAATTCTGGTAACCTTTATTAACAATGTTGTACAAAACTTTACATTTGATTGATTGAAATGTACTTATTGACTGAAGTGTTCTTATATATACACATGGATATATATATGGAAGCTGAGATACGATATGTGATTTGCATTTTTATAGTACACCTGACCATTTATGAAAATTGATTATTTAATGTGTTCATTAACGAAATTTGCACATAAAAAGGGGAGAAAATTAGATGAAGTCAAAATAGTTAACAGAAGGACAACATTCAAATGAAGAGTTTTTACTATCTCTAAAGTTATGAACTTTTGTCGGTTGGGTGTTTTACCTCTCATCTCCTTTTACACATATTTTACATTAAATGGTTTGGACGCTTCGAATTACAAAAGTTCTAGATTTTGAATTTCCTATTAGAATCGAAATAATTCGATCATGTCATGCTCTATGCTCATTTTAACATGGGTAGGCATTATATGTGTCAACATTTTACACCTCGCTTACGCTCGGTATAAAGATATTGACAAGTATAATGCCTACCCATGTTAAAATGAGCATAGAGCGTGGCATGAAAACATTATTTCTTAAATAAAAACAACAAAGATGTCCTTCAGTCAGGTAGATACTATCCCATGTCTTCTCCTTAATATTATTTGTCGCCACATTTGATAAAATGCTGAATAAAATTCAATAATAACAAACTAATACAAATATTAAACAATTATACTGTTACTAGAATCAAACAAAATATTCTTCAACATATGTTTGTTTAGAATATTCAATTGTGTTACATTGTTTTAAATTTAAAGAAAAATATTGTTCCATAAAATACTTCCGGATATCAACAAGGAGCGTTTATAGTATTCAGTTTTAGTTTTTGAAACAAAAAGCAAATTACATGTACTTTTTCTGGTTGTTCTAGAACAAACCTGATGCACATATCTAAATACAATGATATATTCCGGAGTCGATCATTTTGCTTTTCTATATACAAAATAATCTGAAATGGGCATCCATCGCAGCTCTCCAAAAACTATGTGTGACGATGTCATATTATTTCGCTCATTTAAAATAATTCGTGCTGCCCTATTTTGAAGCTTAAAAATTCGATCAATATTAGCAACATTTTTTGCACCTAACCAAATGGTACAACAAAAATTGAAATGTGGAAAACATTTGAATATCGATTTCAGAATAAAATGGACTTCTTTTCTTCAATTGGCTGATTCAATACATGTAATAACATCGAGTGAACCGAAGGGCAAACATAGTTTATATAGTTTAAATTGCAGCACGATAATAGCCTCTAACAAAGTGTTGTGACAATCTAGTTTAGTTGTTTTATGAAATTTTATATATATATATATATATATATACCAATCTAAATTGAAATATATATATTATATAATATTTAAAATAATAGTATATAATAATGTATCTATTAGTATTATGTTAAAACTTTATTTTGCGTAAATTATTTTTCATAAAAGATGAACCCTCCCGCCTTTTACGTATATACTAAAATACATTTAATTCTCTACATATCTTTAATGATTAAATAAATGTGTTAGGATGGTCCTAAAACAATTGTACTAATGACTGTCCTAAGATAGCTTTGTTTTTGTCTTAAGACCATCCTAAAAAATGCCCCAAGACATATCATAGGACATATCATAGGGTACTTTCATTGTCATGGCCCCAGGCTTAAACTAGTGTGAATTATCCCATTTTTTTTTGACAAAATGTCATATAAAGAAGAAGCAGTACAGATATTAAATAGTATTACCATCAAACTTAATGGCAAAGATCAAAGTATAAAAACTTCGCAACTGACGCACGATACTACTTTATTTTGTTCCAAATACGACGTTCATAAAGCCATGGACGAAATTGAAATCTTTGGTTATGAGTGAGGATTGAAATTAAATAGAAATGAGGCTGAGGGGTTATGGATAAGAAAGCTAAAATCATGTAATTAAAAGACAAAATTGAGCGAATCAACTGGATCGATGAACCAGTTAAAACGCTTGGGTTTTTTTGGGGGGCACTGAAGGTGAAAAACTAAATTTAGAAAATAAAATTGAAAGATGAACAAATTATTTCTGGATAGAAAAAATAATAATTCAATCTTACTATGTTTTGAGGAAAAAATTGATAATTAAAACTTTAAGTGCTAAACTTTCATTTTTATAGGAACGTATTGTACAGTTCCTGAGAACAATGTGAAAGAAAAAGAAAATTGTTGTTTTAAAATTCCTTTTGGGATAAAAAAAAAAAGAAAAAAAGAAAGAAAAGAAAAAGAAAGAAAAATAGATAAAGTTAAAAGAAATTTGATCTATTGTCCATATGAAAGGAGGAGTTAGTCTAAGATATGATAGATATAAGTAGCTACTAGTATATCATTGCTGTAAAAGCAATGTAGGTTAAAAGACTAGTAAGTGATTGTGAAGGGGATTGGAAAATCAAACAACAATATTTTGTAGTTTTGGGTCAAACTGGCTAGTGTTTCAAACAAACAGTGGGGATAGCAATATTGGAGAAAGCCTTGAAAGAATCCAAGGTTTTTATAAAGCTATCCTTCAATTCGACTGCAAAAGTCGGGTTGCAAGTTATAAAAGTCGAGTTGCGAGTTCAACAAGTGGAAGCCTTTTTTTGTATGTTATTCAAACACACCTACTCTGCTGTTATTAGCAGGTGACTATAGTTGTCGTCAATTTATTTCCCAGGGAAACCTTATAAGAAATATTTCCCTGGGAAACTATATAAGATTTCTGGTGCAAAATATCGGAAATACTTACGCGTAAATAGTACCATCTTACTTTCTATTTCACTGGGAAACATTTCAGGAATGGCAGTTGAATATGTATAGTTTCCCGGGAAATATTTTTGTTGTCTGTTTCCTATGGAAATCATTCATTTTCGTTAAAAAATATATTCTTTTTGACTATTCTTTTTCATAAAAAATGATCCTATAAGATATATTCCTTTTTGTATCACTGATTGTTCGTGTAATTTTCTTAAATTAAACTTTTAAAGTTAAGATGATTTCAATAAATAATATTAAATCATGTTCAGTAATCCATGCATTTTTCTTACATTGGATGTGGAGGAAAGTCGAATTTCTATTGTTTCCCACACAAAGCATGAAATTATTTATTTTCTCAACAACAAAGAAGTAGTTTATTTGTGTATATTTTTCAAAAGTGTCCATTACCTATTGCCAGTTCGTTATTGTATTCATTTTTTGTATCCCTCTGAAATGATGACGTATTCCGATATAGTCAGCTGAAGTTCAGAAGCAGTGCTTAATCAGGATTTGAACTCTTTGTAGTTTTTATACATTTTTTTTTAAAACAACCACACTTAATTGTTTTTTACGTAGATAATTTTTATTGCTATATTATTTTTTCCTGGATAATTTTCAATTAACTGTTACAAAAATCTTTAAACAAGATACTCTATTGTTTATAGTTGTCAGTAATGTTAAGACTAA